GGCTGTTGTTAGTGGTGATTAGAAGAGGGTTGGCAACAGATGGCAGCACATTGTTTGCCTCGTGTGATATCAGTACAGTACACATTGATTTCTGTTCATGTTCTTTTTAACTCTTTCTTTTAGCTTAAACTATCTAGATCGATAACAACTTTTACAACAACTTAGATTACAGCCGTGATTTCCATTAGCTCAAAACACTTGTGAGGCCAGCTGCGATGTGTGTATGCATGCCTGTGTTTATGTGGGAGTGTTAAAACTAATTGATAGCCTTGCATGAAGGACACAAATGAAAATGAAAATATATAAACACACACACGCACACACACACACACACACACACACACACACACACACACACACACACAAGTTTACACCCTCACAATAGGCACGGTTGGAAATGAAAATCTGACCTATTAGACATTCTTTTTGGGATCTCCTTTTTAAACTTTAACATTCATTTATCGCATACCGATAAACATAATATTATGATGTTTACCAAAATGTTGTCTCTAAAATCAACCTGGCTCTTATTCGTGCGTGGGTCTAACACACGGTGATGTACATTTACAATATTTTTTTCATAGTAGAGGGTTTTACGGCCCTCGCAACTGTATAAGGTCATATGAGCGGCAAGGGGCGGGTGTCAACAGAGAAGTCTTTACAGGGAATCAGACTTACTCTGCTCACCTCTCCAGCTTCAACAGCACAAGGTCTGCTTCGACTATCAAGGCACCCAGGAAATAGCGGGTCACAAGTGTGTGACAAACATACAAAAGAAGTAGAGGAAAATGACGATAGCACTATTAGGAAAGAAAAAGCAGCAGTTCCCTGTTGTAGATCAGGTATAGTTATGAGTGTGACATGATGAATCTGCCCATTTACAATTCTACTGTGCTTGAACGAAAAATGTCCCCCCTTTGGGAATGGCTTAAAGACACTATAGTCAGTGGCACTGCCCGGGGGGGGGTATTTACAATAAATCTCATTGTTTTGTCGAAACAAATATATTGCTTCAGCAGAATAATATAAGCACAACTACCACAAGCAATAAGAACACCAACAATAACAACAGCAACAACAAGCAAACAAACACAGAAACAACAGCAACAAAAACAACAACAAAAACAACAACAACACAAAATCCTGTAGAAAAGTAAAACTAAAATGAACCACCCTCCATCTGCCCATAGAATTACATAACAACAACAACAATAGTAACAAAAACAACAACAACAATAACGACAAGAATAACAACAATAGAAACATCAACCCCGAAAGAAACAGGAAAGCGTCACCCTTCAACCAACGATAGAATAGATAACAACAACAACACGGACAGCAACAAAATCCACAGAAAAAGTCACCCTCCAACAACCCATAATCTTAGGCGCGAAAGCCCGTGTTAAGGAATCTCAGCACGGCCACTATAAATTGCCCTCCGTAGTCAGCATGCCCCAGACACCAGAAATCCAACACCTTTTTCCCGCGCTTCTGTGCGAAGACCAGGTCGGGTGTGTGTGAGACGTCTGCCACTAGTAATTAATTGCATTAGTTCTGTAGCTCAGGACTTTCCCGAGTGAGTCCTTTTGTTTCTCGGGTTAGTCGGGAGGGCAGAAGATGGTGTATTAGCTACCCGCATCTACTCTCAGAGCAGAAAATAAAACGAACAAGACAAAACAAAACGAAGAAAAACAACCCCAAAACACCAAACAACCCTTTTGAATTCTTGTTAAAAAATGTATGTGTCCTCAGATGAATCTGTGTTTTCTGGGGCAATGTGGCCTGTTTGATTACATCATAAGCTTATTTATTCTGATGCATCGATGTGTAAGCGCGCGTGTGCGTGTATGTGTGTGTGTGTGTGTGTGTGTGTGTGTGTGTGTGTGTGTGTGTGTGTGT